CGTTTAGGACATAAATCACAAGCAAAAGGCACCTCTTTTGTATGAGTTAAGTAATGTGCCTTCAGAGTGCTGGAACGAGAATAAGACTTCCCACAGAATTCACACTCGTGAAATTTATTATTTGTATGAATTTCCCGGTGCCTTTTAAGAGTTCCTTTTCTACCAAAACACTTACCACAAACCTCACATATATGAATTTTCTTTTTAGTATCATCTTCATGTATCACTTGGTGTATTTTTAAATGAGCAGACTGAGTAAAACGTGCTTCACACACACTACATTTGTATGGTTTTATTCCCTCGTGAGTGTTCATATGCCGTCTCAGATGGGATGAATTAACAAACCCTTTATAGCAGTAGTTACAAATATGAGTCTTCTCCCCCGTGTGAGTCACTAGATGATCTTTAAGGGAATCAGCTCTTGAAAATCCCTTGTTGCATACTTCGCAGACAAAGGGCCTTTCTTCAGAATGTACGATACTATGTTTCTTAAGTTTTGATAATAAAGTAAATTTTTGATTGCAAATTTCACACTTGTATGGCTGATCTCCTGAATGAGTAAGGCAATGTGTCTTAAGCGAATGCAAACGAGTGAATGCTTTGTTACAAATTGTACACACAAATGGCTTTTCTGTTGTTTCCATAATGCTTTTAAAAAATCAATAAGTAATCAAAACAATAACGACCCTAGATATATTTATACAAGACTGCTTAATGCATGCTACGAAAACACTAATAAATTATTTTTTTAATTTTTAAAGCTAACTCTTTATATTTTGGTTCCATCCAAACCGGAAAGGAGCCAATGACTCTAAACACGGGGATGCAGGTGGTCTATATATTTTGGTTAATCATACATTAGAGAATTTTTCTTTCGTCAGTTATCTTTACAAATTCTGTAGAACCCAACAAATCAAATCCTAAGAAGTCAGCTTCTTAGTCGATAGTAACTTATTACTCTGTGCCCAATCATTACAACACAACCAGGTTTAGTAAACAATCACATTTCGGTACTTTTCGCCAACAAAAACAACATAAAAATGTTGTCATGCGTTCTGTTCTTCACTTCAGTTCATACTAAGTTGATTTAATGCTGAATTCATATAAATGATAAACACAAGTCAAAACGAGTAGTTATAAGGCACTCTAACAATTTTAACTATCTCTTGAATCTCATTAAAGCATATGAGTTTGTGTTATTATAGTTTATTTTTTAAACTGTTGGTGATGATTCACGAAGGAAGCTGAGGCTGTGCAACAAAGAGAATCTGAATTCTTATTCTCTTGATGAGATTGAAAAAAGAATCAGTATGGCATAAATTCCAGAATACTAATCTATGAGTTTTTCAGTAGCTATAATTTTTCTCATGAACAAAATATCGATTCTCATTGGCTCCATTTATTTTTTCACATTTAAATAAGGCTCCGTAGCTTGCGATTCTATCTGTCTTTACGTTGTGCTGCCATCTATGTTTGATGGATGAAAACAAATTGGATGTAATAAATACACGTATGAAATTGTTCAAAATATCTAACAGATCTAATCAGATATTTATTAGAGACTAGATCACCTACATTTATTATATTCTAAAAATCTAAAATTTTTTGCAGGGACAAAATCTCTAAAGATACAAAAACGATAACATTCAATTACAACAATTTAATATAATGGGCGTAGCCAGAAAAAGTTTCTTCTGTTTACTTGCTTTTATAACTATTATATTTCCTGTGATTTTCTGGTCGTCGAAATGATATACGAGAATCAGATATATTTTCATCATTTTCAATTTCTTTACCCAAATTCTATATAACATGCTACATGTTTCATAAAATTCATCCGATTAATTCATAAGAACATAAAAGAACGATTTTATTTTTCCATTTATTACAATAATTAACAAAAAACAAGCACGGTGTAGGTCAGCAAACCACCAACTACAGCGAATAAACTGCTTCGCTAATACCATAACCTGTCAGCACAAAATCGGGTTTATTCAAAACCCACCTCTCTAATTTGGGCCCTTCATTCATTCCAGCCTCTAACATTCGCATATGAGCTTTTTTGCAATAAGCGTCTTTAAACGTACTCAGCTCGACTGGAACACTTGCAGCTACCCAGAAAGTAATCAAAAGACATCCGAAAATATTGACAGTACAAAACATCCAATGAATAAACAAGTTGAACGAGTAATCTCTTCGACCTACTAAATAACCCATTATGCTACTGCAAGCAAAGATATTAGCGACTGTTATTAGAAAAGATCGCAAAGAAAATATCTTTTCGACGGAGCCCAAGATACAGTCAATATTTTATTTTCGTGCAAGAATACGAAGCTGTTTAGCGGTCTTGAAGTTTTCAGGGAGACAGTTCGTTATATCTAAAGTAAGATGGCGTAGAAAAGAGCAACAGCGCATGCACAATATGCAATACAGTAATGCTAGCATATTTCTCAAGATTGGATGTACAAGAAAATGAAGAAACAGCTTTACGCGCAGAACTGTAATCTTCACTGGTGCGTTTTTAATGTCATGACCATAAGTATAACAGAGCGTGAATTTTGGCGTGTGAGATGCTATTACTATTGTTTTCTTCCGACATCATTTGAATCTTTGAAAATAATTACTTATCTGACACATAAAGAAAACAAGTTGAAACTTTTTTTTTAATAAATAAAGAAAATAAAAAATACTAATATTCTCTCTCTCTTTAAATTTATTTTGGTTTACAAAACTCTACTTAACTCATGAAGATCCCCAGGTAATTTTAGCGTAAGAAAAAGAAAAAAAACGTTTAGAAATTTAACCTTATCCATGTTCTTCATCATATGCTGAGCTTTGATGCGCTGCATGTGTTAAAACATCAATTCACGCGTTACATTAGCTCCTTTCAAAAATATTTAAAAATTCTATGTAGACCCTTTTTGTTAGTTCTGCAGTAAAAGGTCGATAATTTTTGACAATTGAGGTTTTTATTTTAAATTAAGTGTGTAAGAATTTACATATACATTACAACTGCACTTGAAAAGAAGTCAGATCTTTCTTTATCAAAATGACAATTCAAAACGACGGTTGCACAGATCCAGAGAGAACATTCACTCTTTAGTAATCGGCGATATTTATTTTACTTTCTCCAAAATCTTCTGCGATAGTCGTTGCACTGAATAGCTCGGCTTTTGCCTCCCACTTTCTTAAGAAAATTGTAATGCCTTCTATTCGTATCAGTCTAATCTAATTTTGCTTTATCCAAACTCATGAGGGACCACGAGATTAGCTGCTCACTTTTTTTATGAAACTCAGTTCGCCTTCTATTGGCACCATATAAGCACCGTCACAAATCGATTGGCAACGGTCATTTACCATCTGGCACATGCCAAATCAATCTTCTGCTCCGTGCCTGTGCGCCAATGCCACATGACCCTCTTATCGAAACACGACACCTCGATGCAAGGTCGTAGCAGACACTTTACCATCGATAAATATGAGAAAGGAATACATTAAGAGATTAAGATTATTCCAACGGAAAGAAACACGAACAACTCGCATTGTATCCGTCTTCTTTATTATATGTAAACAAAATAAACGAAGATAAATATTATCAATTTGTCCGAATGTCACTTATTTCAACATAGGAAATGAAAAGGCAATCTTTTTTTTATCGTCAGTCATCTTCTAGAAAACGAACTCTCAATAACTAGAGTTGGCGCAGTTTAGCCAAAAATGGCTCTTGCGCCATTAAACCTCATACAATCAACCTCAATAACTAGAATGACTTTTCTTTGCGGTACTTGTAAACAGTTACAGGAGGAAGGATGAATAAGAAAGCCTAAAGTTTTAAGAAGATAAATAAGTGTTCCGATAGATAGCTTTAAAAATAATTGCTAGGAATTACCAAAAAAACGAAAAACTTATCGTTCAAAATTAAAGAGGTACACAAGAGATACAGACATATTTTTTAAAAATTTAATAACGAATCACCTAAAAATATTTTAATTTAGCGAACTCTTTTTGTTTAAAATGTTAATGCATCAAAAATATTTTACTAAATATGACTAACAGGATCGGGGTAAAAATTAAGTTTAGACTTTTGTAAAAATTTAGATTTTGTAATTTTTTTCCACGATATGTTTGTTGACTCAGACATTACATATAATTCTTTACGTCATTTAAAGCATTTTTTCATTTGGAAGTATATGTCTCCCTAACAATTTAGAAATTGGCTATAGGGACACAATTAGAGTATATGCCTTGCATAAGTATGGCAAAGAACTGCAGAATACAATTTAAAAATAAAGTAGATTTATTACCTCGAAGCAACTCATAACACAAGAGAACAGAGAACTTGTCTACAACTAATGGGACTGAGCATTTATACATTTAAGAAATATTCCAGAACCATCCAGCTGAAATTTTAAATAAAGATCTAGAATCGCCTAGAGCAGGGGTTCCAAAACTTTTTTTCCTTCGTGTACCCCTTGATTGGTTTTTTAATTTTTGCGTACCCCCTACTGTCGTATACCCCTCCAACCATCCGTCTATACGAAGAAGTTTTATCAATATTGTTAAGGTAACGTAAGAATCAAATGACTGGAATTTATAACATTTGTAGGACTTAGTTTTGATTTAACATTTTATTCAATTTTTACGAAAGTATTAGTTCAACATCAAAACAGATGAAATCAGTATTATAATAATTTCGCATTAACTTATAAGGATAGCTAAAAGTTACACTTCCTTTTGTTTTCGTTTTCTTCTTATTTTGAGGGTAGGTTTAAGACTTGCACAACTTTCACATTTTACACGAACTTGAGGAAACAAAATTCTGTAACATTTTCAATCCCTTTATGTTTTCTTGTGTCCGCCATTACCGACTTCGCGTACCCCCAACTTGTCCTTCACGTACCCCCAGAGGTATGCGTACCACAGGTTGAGAACCTCTGGCCTAGAGCATAAAAGCTATAAATAATATTTGAATTAAAATACCCGTCCTTGGATTAAACTACTGTGGCCAGGATTCGAACCATAATTAAACAGATTTACAGTCTCAATGCTCTACCAACTGAGCCATAGTAACTACTGGCACAGAGAAGCTGTTTCAGCAATATATTTTAAATTTTATTCATTTCACCATTTTAGTTCTTAAAAACCCTCCTGAACGTCGCTGCTTCTGAATTTATCTGTTTAATTTACTTTGTATTTAATGCAATATTTCTTTCAATACATTTTATTTCATATAAGCATAGTTCAAAATTTCTGCAATAATTTAATATTTATCTTTAAAATTATTTTATTATCAAATGCTTCCATCCTATTCTTTTATCAATATCTAATAGATATAGTTTGATTTCATGCTATAAACTTGGTTGCATCATATTGTGATAATAATAATCGAAATGTTAATCCCTCTTGTTGAGAAAACAGAGTGAAAGAATAGAAACTGTTATTGTCAATGAAATTCATGCTTTCACAAAAATTTTAGCTATAATAGTACTTAAAATAAAGTTTTATTTATAAAAGCACATCCCCCGCCTAAGAAAAAATAATTCAAAATTATTTCTGCATGATCATGCAAAGAAAATATATACATGAAGTTTCATTAATTTTCTTACAGCTTATTAGCACATTTTTAATCAGGTTTTTCCTTATATCATATTTCTAAAGCAATCATTTGAAAATAAATTATGTTTTTTTTTTCCTGTAACAACAGTTGAGATCTTCCCCTTTTTGTTTTAAAAGGAGAATATCAAAGAATAAATATGGTCAAAAAGTTATCTCTGGCTATTGGCAAAACTGAACAAGGAGAGACATAGAAATATGTCATTGACCAGCGATATATTCCTTTAGCTTTCTGTGCACTATGCTAATAACCAATTTTACATTTCACTAAGTTTCTATTTCAGAAAATGTTTAATGCTGCTTCTTTGACAGGTGAACTCATCAAATTAATGCTCCATTTTGAAGCTACAGAAGGTTTACAAGAGTATATAACTGGTGGCCAGAGAAAGACACCTTAGCTGGTCTCTATTCTCCAAATTTCCACATCACATCCAAATGAGAATGTCTGAACCACACACATTTAATACATGCGTAAACATTTTCACGAGCTGAAAAAATAGATAAGCGATTTATTTTTAAATTAAATTGAATTACTACAGCATTCCTGCCATTTTGCATTACAATGAAAATGAACACTATAGCATTCACATCTGCAAACATATTAACTGCTTAACTTAAAAGGCTGAGAATACTCGTGCATCCAATCATCGCATTTTAAGTCTTAAAACTAATATTTAATCATTAATTAGCTTCATAATTTTACACAAAAATTAAGTAGAAACTATGTTGTTGTTGTTGTTGTTACTAATCTCCAATCGAGTCTGACAGAGTCAGACCAAATCTAGGAATCTGTTGACTTTGATGAAATCAATGACTAAAAGGGGAGAAGAATAAATTTCTTCCCAGTCAAGTTCTAGACAGTCCAAAATGTGTTTGGGTGATACTTGATGTTGATGGCATTTAGGGCAGATCTTGTTGCCCTCAGAATATGTACGGCATTTCAGGTGGCCAATGGCATGTCGTGAAAGACAGGTACTGGACTGCCCTGTCGCATGGAAGGGATAGGGAAAGTCCCGGCTTTCTTCCTTTGTACCAGTGGTGTGAAGGAGGCACCAGCCACTCCGCCTTGTTTTGGGCTTTTTTCCCCTCGAAAATAGTTCTAGGAAAGTAATCTCTGAAGAGAAAGGAATGGGATGGCTTGAGCCCTCCTTTGCAAGATTGTCAGCCAATTCATTTCCGTGAATATCTACATGCGAAGGGGTCCATTGAAAATGTACATCATGCTGAACGGAGATGAACTTCAATTTTTGTAAGATGGATAAACTTGTTTTATCCCCTATGTAGGTCCAGTTTTTAAGATGTTGAATTGAGCTATGGCTATCGGTAAGTATCCAGAGGTCTCCAAAGTTGTTTTCGCTCATGATGGTCTCTAGTCCCACATCAGTTGCCAGTAGTTTGCTTCGGAAAACAGAAGTCTAGTAGAAACTATAAACAACTATAATCATCACGACAGCCCCTTTCCAAAACAGAAGGGAACATCTTATTAAATAGCAAAGAAAATGAAACAGTTAAAGAGATAATAAACATTAGACCTATGTATATGTATGTTCTATGGCGAAATCAGGTCTAAAGCAAATCGACCCAGAGACTACTAAAAACAGAATTGGGTACAAGGCCATTGTGGACTAACTTTTCATAAATTTAGTGAAAAAAAATTCTTTATCTGGTACCACTTGCAAATGAAAAAAAAAATTAGCCATATCACGTGTAAATTTTGCAAAACAGAACAAAAACAATTCCACACATAAAAATATTAAAAGTTTTTATTTACAAGACTACTTTATTACTACAATTTATTTTCTTATATACTTTGCTGGTCTTCTGCATTTCGCTCTTTCCTTCATATGTGCTTTTCTTTCTTCTTCTCTCTTACTTGCCTTCTCAGGCTATAAATAAAATACCATTTTTTAATTGTAATAAAAATGTGCGATTTTAAATTGTTTCAATATAATATTTTGATAAATATATTCTTCCACTCAAATAAGAATAAAATTGTGGGGTAAATTCTACTTCAGTGAGGAAGGGGCAACAAAATATGCAAACACTTTAAGCGAAAATTTGATTAATACATTGTAAGAAACAACTAAGAAGAATTTTGGTTTATTAATATTTGCCATACAAAGCAATTTTGTTCCTAGTTTTAATGTAATTAAGCAAATTGACATAACAGGGTTCGTACACATTTCGTTAAAAGAAAATCAAGGACTATCAAGGACTAAAAACCAAAAAATAAGGACCTCTAAATTGAATAAACTTAACAAAGTGTCACACGCATTTTTAAATAAAATGTCTCATTTTTGCAAATTCAACCTATTAGATGATAAATTATAATATAAAACATAGAAGATACATTACAAATTTAACACAACAAAACTCCTAAAAATATGAGTTAATAAATTGATGAAAAAAAACCCATGAAACTGGCAATCAAATTAAATATCTTTTAATTCCCAAATTTTTTCATTCAATTTTACATCCAAGGTATTTACTTTAATTTCTTTTTCAGAAATTGTTTTTCTTAGTTCATGCGATTGAATAAATAAATTTATGTCCTTTGACTTTTCAGCCTCATTAACTAAATCATTTGCTTTCTCATTTGTTTGGTGCATGTCCGTTTGGAGGAACATTTTCTTTTGTTTTAAAAAATCTATTTCCTCCTCTAGAGCTTTTCGTTTCAGTTGTTTTGTTTCAGTCTTTTCTTTGGATCCTTCACTTAATAAATACTGCATGTATTTTGCTCTAGCTGAGGTGGCAGCCGTCCTCATTTCTTTAGTAATTTTTAAGTCATAAATAGCTCAGACAGCTTAATAAATTCATGATTTACACGCTGGAAAATATATGAAGCATCTTTTAAATTTTCTATTTCCAGGACCTTGTTCACCGAAAAACCTCATTGTCCGTGTGACAGTATTAATATCATTTTGATAATCTTCCAAACTTTTTCATAATGATTATTGCTAAAATAAGTTTGTAAAAAAATTATCAAGGGAATCACTCTTTGGATTGAAAGAAGTAAATTCAAATGAATTTGGATTACAATATTTAACAGAAAATCTATAGAGTAACAAAATTTCGTCGCAATCTTTTCCCAAAAATACGTTTATTTTGCGACAATACAATCAATACCTTTTCCATTTTTTCCTGTGCTTTTTTCAGCCATTACTCGTGGATCAATGCAAATCGCAAGTCTTATTAATCCGTAATTCACAGGACATTTCTGCATGAAATGTTTTATCATTGTTAAGATGTTTTTCCGACTATCCTGTCTGAGTATGAAAACATCCTTGTCTTCTAATTCCTTATTTTTCATCTTTTCTTTTATTAGTTGCTCTGCAGCAAATCCTAAATACACTTAACTTTTATCATTATACAAGTTTGGGTCACTGAAATTGAATTTGCATAAAGTCTCAGGTTTCTCAATTCTTTCATTCTCTGGTTTTAAAATTTTGAAATGTTCAATGCAATCATTAACAAAATTTAAAAACATCACTGGCAAAAAATGGAAGTAAAGGTTTATCACTTTGATACTGTTCTAAAAATGGTAACAGCACTTTTGACAATCATTCCTATGGAACCATGGACAAATAAAGGCCATCTGTAACTCCTCCCTTATTTCCCAAAGTGTATGCGATGGATATGAATTCGTAGAACGCGAGCAGTGTTGTCCCCCCACCCCATTCCGCGATAGCTACGGCGACCGAGATTAGAGCCGTCGAGAAGGAGGAATTAGAAAAACGATAATCGGTGAAATTTTAAATTTTTTTAATAATGACAGAGTAAAAAGTAAGGACTTTCAAGGACTTTTTAAAAACGGAGCATAAAAATAAGGATTTGTAAGGACTTTTAAGGACTAAATGTAAAAATAAGGACTTGTAAGGACGCGTACGAACCCTGCACAAGTCTTCAAATTTTAAAAATCAACTCACTCCTAACAGCAAATACTAATTACATATACAGAAAAATATCTAATACAATCTAAGTACTGAATCCAACCTCAGATACTCCAATGTAGAAAAATTAAAATTAGAATTTTAGAGGTTCCTTAGAGCATAGATCTTGGAGTGACATAAAGCAGGATATTCTATAGTTATAGATGCCCTCATCATATATTTCTTTCATCTGTATAAAATTGATATGTATAGTCCAGAAGTTTTTGACATAAGTAAGAGAGACTACAACATTTCTTGGACCAATGCTAGAAGACTTATTCTGAAATCATCTACTGGCACCGGAAGGACAAAACCATTATTTCGCAGCAGTTAATATCCTTTCCGTTCATTTTATTATTTATCATTTTACTTGTTACTGATTGTTTAAAACAGTATTAATTAGTGCATGTTAAAGGAAAAGTATGGAATCTGCAAACTTTCTAGCTTTTTCTTTTGCAAAAGAGATCTGTGTCCACTTTGGAGAGACCAGTTTTGCAAATGCTAATCTGAGTAACTATAAAACTTTATA